CTCTCTGTCTGTGTGTGTGTGTGTGTGTGTGTGTGTGTGTGTGTGTGTGTGTGTGTGTGTGTGTGTGTGTGTGTGTGTGTGTGTGTGTGTGTGTGCGTGTGCCTGTGGGGCGAAGGATTCACCTAACTGCAGACGTACATAAAACACTCATCTTTCAGATCGACCGATCGATCAATCTGCGCATACCTCTAATTGTAGAAAAACTCGCTACAAGTAGAGAGAAAAAAAGAAGCAGAATTTCTCTCTGCGAGTCGTTTACTTATGGGTTTTTCTCCGATTGCAGAACTACCGTAGGGAGTGATTGCCCTCTAGACTGGCTGTCGTCTTGCGTACAATGCACCTAAAGCTGTCGTTTCCTGATTAAAGACTTTGTCAATCAATGAGCTGCGCATTCACAGACTACATAACCTCTCGTCCAGCAAACTCTTCAGGGAGAACTCGATCGATCAAACGATCGGTCCATCAATCAAGCGATCGCTTGATCGATCCATATCAAATTACGCGCATCGATCGACGTCTCTAATGTCATCAATCAACGGCCCTAATTCCGGAACCCAACAAGAGGGCCTGCGACGACACTTCTGAGAACTTTCAGCGTGCCATCCACTGCTCGAAAGAGGCCCTTAAAGGGCACGTAATCGACCCCGCTAACCCTAGGCTCCACCCACGACCTCCCATATTTCGCCTCAAGCAACTGATAATCCCGGCTTGCTCTATCTGATTCGGGTATCTCAGCGACCTTGGTCCGCAGGTAATCAGCCGACCTCGGTGCCGCCGGAATTCGGCGCGCAGCGGTTATATACACGAAGTGTATCAGCGCCGTCGAATTGCCTTCATGGGCTTTTACCAGAAGATTCTGCCTCCTGGTGCAGATGACATTCAAATCTCCCTTCTCATAGAGATCCGATAGCGACTGCAGCGAGCCTATCTTCTCTTCCTCCTCCTCCCGCGCTTCTGCGGGACCTTCCTCAGTCCGGGTCCCGACCTCGTAATCCGCATAACTCTCTGTCTCCTCTGTGACAGTCCCGTCCGAGCCGCTCGTCGGGCTCGACGTCGGGCTCTCGACGACGGAACCCAACGTGCGGGAACTGCACCGCCCAGACCTGCTGATTCTCCCATCGTCGGGACTGTAACTCACCTCTCCCGCCGTCCCTTCTCCATCCTCCGCCGCGATCCCGACGCCGTCCGAAACGTCTCCCCATTCCGAGTGCTCCGGCGAACTGGACGACGAATCTTCGTCCTCCGAGTCCCGATCCCGATCCGCTCTCGTCGACCTGACGCTGCTGGCATCGGTCTCGCGATCGCGATCGCATGTCGGGACCTGAGTATAGACACTGTTGTTATTGCTCCTGCACCGCACTTCTGCGGCCGCCCGTGTCCTGTCCCCTCCTCGCGGGCCATTGAATCTGGACCTACTAGGATGATCGGTATCTTCTGTGGGTACCTGCAAGTAGCCGATGCCGTTGCTCTGTCGCTCCACGGGGGCGCAGAAGGATTGCTCCCCTCTTGCGGCCGATTTACGACGCTTGGATGTTAAGGGCTCTTGCTCCTGCACATATAAATATACCACAAAGCCCCTCTCCCACCCATCATACTCCCCCACTCTCGCGCAATCCGTAGCCTCTTTCCCCTTTCCCACTTACTACTCTCTCCCATTCTCTCCACCATTCTCTCTCCCAGTCATATTCCGGTCTCCCCCCTTAGATCACCGCACCCCCTCCTCAGAGGTTAGATTATACCCCCTACGAACGACCCTCCCTTTGCGGCCACTTATTTATAGGTCTCCTCCCCATGCGCGCGCGCACCTCCCCCCCCCCCCCCCCCCCCCATACACTCACTTTCTCGCCAAAGTTGCGCGGGCGGGACCCCGCGCAACTTCGGCGCAAGTAAGTGAG